CTCTTTATCATTTTGTAAACAGTTCAAGAATTTACTTTATGTTTTTGTTTTTTTTTTCCAGGTAAGGGGTAGGTTTATTCAGTAGACCTGCTGGGACCAGGCAAGGTTGGCACTCCACATGGCTGGGAAAGGCCTGGGAAAGAGAGAGAGCTGGGAAATAGAGAGGACAGAGAGAGAAAAGAGCTACAAAAGAGCAGAGAGAGTGCGTCTAGGCCCGGGCAAGGCCTTATCTAGGGTATGGGCGGAGAAAGGTATGGCCACATCAAATTCAGATGTGACCTCAGCGGATGCAGATGTGCCCTCTTCCAGGTGTCCCAGTTGCATAGGTAAGGCAGGTACTGGGTGGAGACTTCGCTGGGGGAGAGTGGAGTCTGCTAGCCATCCAGGAGCAGACCTTACATTCCAGCCTTTTAATAATCCTGAAATAGGGCGGGGATTCTCTCTGGCTACTTCCTGCTGACAAGGGGCATGGACCATAGAGGTAAAAGGCTGGAATTTGGTCTCCTGCCAGAGAAGGCAGTGAGCAGCAGCTGTCCCTTGGTGGTGTGAGTCCTTAGATAAAGTCTGGAGAAGTCTCATGAGCATTGAGGGGCCAGAAAATAAATTCTAGAGAGCAAATAAATGGCAAGAGGAAGGACTTGGGGCTGAAAATATTGGTAGAAATGTCCCTAGCTACTTCTGACATCTGGCGACTAGGTAGAGAAGTCAGGTGACAAAGGCAAGAATATAAATTCCTGTTCCGTTAATAGGTAGACAGGTATAGACATTGGATGGGCAGGCTTCTTACTTCCACTGACCTCCCGGCTCTGGTTAATTTTGAAAGCGCAGGCAAAGTGGCTGATGTGACATCATCTCCTCTTACTCCTCTTCATGTTCCCTTGTTTCCCAGACTGGCTGAGTCTAGGTGCTTGTTGCTGGGATGGCTTGTCCCAGTTGGTATTCAAGGAGGTTTCAACTCAAGGCCTGGGCACTGTCGCTGAGTACTTCTGCTCAAGGCTAGCACTGAACCACTTTGAGATATACCACTTGCAGAGTTTGGCTGGTAGAGATAAGAGTTTTGAGCCATGCTTCCAGTCTGGCTCTTTGTAGGTTAGCTAGGAGATGGAGTCCTAAGGATTTTTCAGCCCGGGTTGGCTTTGAACCGAAATCTTTGCCACAAAAGCCCTTTATTATTTCCAATTAAAGCAACAAGGAGATCAAGTAGAATAAGTAGAGCTTACCTGGTTCTTATCAAGAATTGACCGACAAATATTCTGGAATGAGAATCTTAGCACAGATATGCCCAATATTTTAGAGTCAGTACCAGAATACACAACACAAAACAAAAAAAGCAAAACTCAAAACCTAAAATTTCGACAACGTTTAGACATCTTTGCTAACAAAGCACTTCAGATGGTTGGGCCTCAGTTACCAAGGCCTATGAAAAGAGCAACTTGTTAGCAAGGCACCTTAGAAAAGATGGAGTAGTAAGCTTGGTGGAAGGTTAAGGGTCAGATGGGGCCAAACCTTTAACCCACCATGTGACCAAGATGGTGAACTCAAGATGGCGAATTTCTGAAAAAAATGCAAAGAAACCCTGAACAAATAGATGAAGCCTACATTGGCTAGCCTTTGAGAGGGAACCTAGAGGGGGGTCCCCAGGACCCAGTCTTCAGGGCACAAGGCAAAATGTAGAAAAGAGAAAGGGAGAGATAGGGAAAGTTGAACATGAATGGTAGAGAGAGAGCAAAGAGAGCCTGAAAGTAAACAGACTTCTGACCATTTACAATTGCAGTGGCAAAAACTGTCTACATCAGAGAATGGCATAAAAATGAGGCACTCTGGCTTTCCAGGGAGTGCAGGAGGCATTTCAAAGGGGTTTCATGGCTCAGGCATGATTCGCAGCACCCCATTAAATGAGTAGGAGAGTTAGTCTGGTGAGTGAAGGAGAGATGACCAGGCAGAAGCGGCGTCCCGACTTCCCCCAGAGCCCTCTAGAGAGAAATGGCCAAGCCCCCAAAACCAAGTGCCCTTGACTTCACAGGTGACTGGCCTTTCAGCTAAAGGCCGTAGGAGCTCTCTCTGGCGTGGCGCCACATCTGGACAGAGACTGAGCAACAGAGAGTAGAGAGTAGAGAGTAGTTTCACTCACCAGAGTAGAGAAGTGGTGTGGACGTGGATGTGAAGGCCAGCAATGGTATCGATGCGCTGTGTCTGTAGCAGACTGATGGGTTTGCAAAAGGCCATCAGAACTGTGGGTCTTCCTCAGAAGAAAAAGGGAAAAACAAACAGAAAAAGAAAAACGAGGGAAAAAAAGAGAGGCATCCCAGCTATCCTGACTTTAAGCCCTTTATCCAAGTTATGGCACCATTTATGTTAGGTTTTTAAAAAGAGGTAGCTGAGTAAGAGCTCCACACACATGGTACCCAAGTAAGGGGTAGGTTTATTCAGTAGACCTGCTGGTACCAGGCAAGGGTGGCACTGCACATAGTGGGAAAGTCCTGGGAAAGACAGAAAGCTGGGAAACAGAGAGGAAAGAGAGAGAAAAGAGCTAGAAAAGAGCTAGAAAAGAGCAGAGAGAGCAAGAAATTGCTTTTTGTAAAAGCCATTTTTCTTGAGCCCAACCTCTGAAAGAATAATTCTCACATTCACCAAAAATTAAACATTCTTCTTTTGAATAGTTCATTTCTTCCTTCTTCCTCATTCCTTCCCTTCCTCTTTCCCACTCTCACTTCCCTCCTTCCTTCCTTCCTTCCTTCCTCTCAGGTCCTAGAAGTGATGCTGTAGCTCAAGTGGCAGATGGTTTTATTTTTTTGTTAACTTCAATTTTTGTAAGAGATTGATTAATATTTTGGTGTGCTTGATTATTTCCGCTAATGTCATATCCACTTTGGCCCTCTCTGAGATAACACAGGTGTGACACATCATCCACACTTGTGTTTTGTAATAGCTCACACAGCAGAACAACTAAATGGGCTAAGAGTGAATCAATCATAAGTTGCTCATCACCAGTGATTAATTAAAGAAAAGAGCAAGCACTGAAGACACTTTGGGGTTCTCCCCCAAGGCAAAATGCAGAAATTCTAGTCTTTATTATCCATCAGTTTTTAAAAAATATATATTTTATTGTAAAGATACTGTAAAGATTGGTTATACCATTATATGAGTTAGGTAATGAATACATTTCCTATTAAGCATTGTTACCCCTCCGATAAAGACTTTATTACTATGTATGGACTGCAATAAGGACTAATATCTTCCATTAAATCTTCCATTCAAAACTGAACTGGAATAAGTAGGTCATTTGTACTATAAGGCATGGATCACACATACAGAGGGAGACTTAAGGGAGCAGTAGAAAATGGTTGTTCTCATGTTCTTGCTTCCTATCATAACAGTCTTTACTCATCTATTGTTCCCATAACCATGTTGGAGATGATCTGAATCCAGTCCCAAAGGCCCAGAACTCATATTTCTAAGAAGAGTTTATCAAATTACCCTGAAACACCATTCCTTAGTATAAAAGACACAAGTTAATAACTTCAATCTCTGAATTACTTGTCATGACTGGTTATTTCTACATGCTTTGGATAATATTGAACGACACAACCCACACTCAACACTATGAGAGGATGAGAAATGTTGGCTCAAAGACAGCTGAAGAGTGAAGAATGGTTTCCCATCACAGCTAACTTACCCATGCCATGAAGAATTTCTGTGTATAATTTACAGAGGTTTTCTGACAAAGATTTTCCTACATTGGGTTTCTTTCCTGGGTGATTTTTTTTTTTTGGGGGGGGGGGGGGTAAGGTCGTGGGGCCTGAACTCTGGTCCTGGGCACTGTCCTTCAGCTCTTCAGCTCAAGGCTAGTGCTCTACCACTGGAGCCACAGTGCCACTTCCGGCTTTTTTCTTTTTGCTTATGTGGTGCTGAGGAATCCAACCCAGGGCTTTAAGCATGCAAGGCAAGCACTATATCACTGAGCCACCTTCCCAGCACCTTCTGGGTGAATATTTTAATAATTGCTGAAGATTGCCTTATGGTTGAAAGACTTCCTCTCATGTTTATATTTACAGAGATTCTGTCATGTGTCCAGGTCTCTGATACCTGTACAGATGTGACTTCTGACAAAATGTTTTCTATACTCATAATTCCTCTCCTGTGTATGATCTCACATATGCTGATGACTCATTTCAGATTGAAAGTCGTTTCAAATATGTTCTATTCACTATTTTATTTCTCCTATGTGAGTCAGTTCTCTGATGAACACTGAGGTATTCCTTTCAGATCAAAGGCTTTCCACATTTGTAATATTTTTAAGATTTCTCCGCTGTGTGTTCTATGAACTTGGATCCATGAATACTTGGTAAATGACTTTCCACATTTCAGATATTTGTATTTTCTCGTCTGTGTCTGTTCTCTGATGCAAACTGAGTTATGACTTTTCTAGAAAACCTTTCCATTTTTCCTACATATGATTTCTCTTCTTTGTGTGTGAGAGTGTGTTTCTGTTTCTGTGTGTCTGTGTGTTTTGGGTGTTCTGTGATGAACCCTGAGCTGTGTCTTCTAGTTGCAGCACTCCACATCTGCTATATCATAAGGTCTCTATCCTGTATTGGTTCTGTATTGCAATTTCAATTTTCTTACAGATCAAAGACTTTCCCATTTGGTACAATCCTAAGTTATTTCATTTGTGTGAATCAACTTATGTGTGTTAAGCTGTGACCTCCAGGTCTTTCCCCACTGGTTGCATTCATAAGGTTTCTCTCCTTGTGTTCTGTGATGGATGTTAAGTTGTGCCTTCCAGGTGAAAGAATTTCCATGCCTGCTACATACATAACATTTCTCTCTGGTGGTTTTTTTTCTGATGGACAGAAAGTTGTATGTTCTGGGTGAAAGATTTTCCACATAGGTTACATTCATAAAAGTTCTCTCCTGTGTGTGCTCTCTTGTAGACAGTAAGTTGTAGCTTCTGGCTGAAAATTTTTTCCACACATATGATATTCATAAGATTTCTTTCCTGTGTGTTTTCTGATGGACAGTGAGGCTTGACTTCCAGGTGAAAGACTTTCCACACATGTTACATTCATAAGGTTTCTCTCTTGTGTGTGTTCTCTGGTGGCAAGTAAGGCATGACTTCCAGGTGAAAGACTTTCCACACATGTTACATTCATGAGGTTTCTCTCCTGTGTGCGTTTTCTGGTGGCTAGTAAGCTTTGATTTCTGGGTGAAACATTTTCCACATGTGTTACATTCATAAGGTTTCTCTCTTGTGTGTATTCTCTGGTGGCCAGTAAGGCATGACTTCCAAGTGAAAGACTTTCCACACACGTTACATTCATGAGGTTTCTCTCCTGTATGCGTTCTTTGGTGGCCAGTAAGCTTTGATTTCTGGGTGAAACATTTTCCACACATGTTACATTCATAAGGTTTCTCTCCAGTATGTGTTCTCTGGTGGGCAGTAAGGTTTGTCTTTTTGGCGAAAGACTTTTCACACATGTTACATTCATGAGGTTTCTCTCCTGTGTGTGTTCTCTGGTGTCTAGTAAGATATGCCTTGCAGATGAAAGACTTTCCACAAATGTTACATTCAAAAGGTTTCTCTTTTGTGTGTGTTCTCTGGTGGACAGTTAGCATTGATTTCTGGGTGAAAGACTTTTGACACATGTTACATTCATAAGGTTTCTCTCCTGTGTGTGTTCTCTGAGGGACAACAGGGTGTGTCTTCTCAGTGAAAGACTTTTCACATTGTTTATATTCTTCAACTACAGAAGACACATGAGGACTATATACAGCACACATCTTACCAGGTTCACTGAAAACACCCATGTTCTGACACCCAGTGACCTTTTCTATCCTAATCCCTAAGGAGTTCCTATTATTCTTAATCAGTTCTGATTTCTGTACGGAGCTCAGATGAAAACTTCTTGTAAGTCTCACTTTTTCCACCCCTTGGTTACTATTTATGACTGCGACTTCAGAGAGATATTTATTGTGACTTTCCTGACAGGTGCTAATCACATCCTCCAATTCTGGGACATCTAAAATGGAAAACATAAATGAGATCCATAAATTCCTTACTGTAACGATATTTCCTCACATTCTGTTACTAGATTTTCAAATATCAAAGCATTGCTTTATGCAGCAATGTAGTAATTACGAAAGTAGTACTGACATTTTACAATGGAAAATAATCTTTTTCTGTATTTCAGATTTAATATTTTTCTCCAGGAAATATTTACTCAAATTATTCATCTACATACTCTTAATGCTTCCATTCTGAATTGCCCTCTTTGCCCAGCACCACTGATAAGAAATTGTCCCAATTAGAGGACAGCAGCCCTAGCATACTCCTATTTTCCTCCTACCTGCGTAATATTAGTTTAAAAGAAAATGAGATCTCCTCTTGCACATTTCTTATTGTCTTTTTCTCTTTAAGAATGACTTCTCTACAGAAAAAGGGAATTGCTAACATTAACTGCACTGGCGCACCAAATTCAGTTTGTTTCCACGGGAGTTCTGGATTGACAATTTCTTGAGACTAAGGATTACCTAGTTCTCTGCCACACATGACTCAGGGGCACTAGGAATACTATTGCTCTGTACAGCTCAAGATAAACAGACCAACTGGGCTCTGGACCCACTATGACCATTGTAGATGCTTTAACTCACCTGTGAAATTCTTGTCTGAGGCTTCTCTTATCCATGGTTCTGCACCTTGCTCCAGCTTCACAATCAATTCAGGTTTAGGAACACAGTGCCCTGTGAATAAGAAAGAGTGGAGAACTATTGTTCTTGCTGAGTCATCATTAACGTAAGGTCGCAGACATCCTGTTCACAAGGTTGTTCCTTTTTTAGGGGGAGGGGGTCCGGTCGTGGGGCCTGGACTCTGTCCCTCAGCTCTTCAGCTCAAGGCTAGCGCTGTACCACTTGAGCCACAGCGCCACTTCCAGCTTTTTAATTTTTGCTTATGTGGTGCTGAGGAATCGAACCCAGGGCCTCAGGCATGCAAGGCAAGCACTCTACCACTGAGCCACCTTCCCAGCCCCAGGTCTCTCAATTCTTAATAGCTCCATGGTGGAGTTTCCCCCAGCATTGAGTTTATTGTGCCAGTTGTGTGGCTTGAACTCAGCTCTTTTGCTCAAAGCTAGCATTCTACTAGTTTCAGTCCTGGCTACATTTCTAGTTTTTGAATGGTTAATTAGAGATAAGAGTCTCATGGTCATTTTTCTACAGTTTCTGGCTTCAAACCAAAATCTTCAGATTTCACCCTCCAGAGATTCTAGGATTCAAAGCTTGAAGCACTAAACCCTGTCAAGTTTGGCTTACAAATACACACTTTTAACTACTGATTTCCAGATCATACTGTCAGTAGTAATGTATATGCTATCTAGACTGTAGATCTACCTATAATAATCACCCCAAGGTTGGGAAGTCAGTCTCCTATTAGTGGATCATAGTTTAGAACTTTTGTCCAACTACTGATTAGGCTTCTTAAAGAATGAGAATACAATTAGCTCTTGAGTTACATATAATAAATGTGAAGTTTCCCTTATAAAAAAATGACACTTCCCTAGTACTAGAATCTTTTTTTTTTAAAGAAAATGTAATGGTCCAAAGGCTTACACCTGTAACCCTTCCTTGAGGAGATGAGATCAGAAGAGGCAGGCTTGAAACCAACCTGGGCACTGAAACCCAGAATATACCCCAGAACAAAAGCCAAAATGGAGTTGTGGCTCATGCAGTAGTGTGAAAGGCAAAGAACACCAAGCTCCCAGACCTGAATTTGGCTGGCTTTTATACTAGCAGTTTTTTTTACCTGGGAATGGACTGGAATCTTGTACCTAAATAACATAAACAGTCAAATGTCTACTAAAATAAAAGGACTTGAACTTCCATGTAAAAGTGATCTTTGCTCACCAAAGGACATGAGGTTGCTATAGGTCTCCAGCATTACATCTCTGTGAAGGGTCCTCTGACCAGGATCCAGATCCTGCCACTCCTTCCAGGTGAAGTACACAGCCACATCATCAAATGACATCAGCTTCTGCAATGGCACATTGCCATCAAGAAATCAGACGTGGGTCATGAGAATTCCAATCTGGAATTTCATTATACTGCAGGTATGCTTTTATCTTACATAAAATGTTTGCAGCTTGCTGTGTTATCTATTCACTGGAAGAATTAAATAGCAAATTAAAAATATTTGACAATATATAAGCCTGGTCATTAAAATACAGAGATTGGCAGGGCACTGGTGGCTTATGCCTGTAATCTTAGCTATTCAGGAGGCTGAGGTCTGAGGATCAAGGTTCAAGACCAGCCCAGGTAGAAAAGTCCATGAGACACTTATCTCCAATAAACAACCAGAAAACTGAAAGTAGCACTGAGACTCAAGTGGTAGAGCACTCACCTTGACCTGAATTGCTGAGGGACAACAACCAGGACCAGAATTCAAGCCCCAAGACCATAAAAAGAAATTACAGTTTCCCCAATGCATGCAAACACATTTCTGCTGCTAGCAATAGAGACAATATTAAAAACTCTGAGGAGACAATAATCTGGCATGACAACAATAAGTCTAAGGAGGTGTCTGATAAATTATATTATCATTTTTGATAAAATTTTAGTACATATCAGGGTAACAATGAATTAAACAAATATTTTTTCTGCATTTACATATACTGCTTCACCCTAAATCCTATTTAGACTTTCTATTAACACGTATTCTCATAAGCAAGCAGAACACATTCAGGATATCACACGGAATACAGAACATAGAACATTACTAGATCTATGAGAAGCAGTGTCCCATATGAATGTTAAAAAAGAGTAACAGTACTCCAGAAAGTAGCTAATGATTTATTTGGCCCATATAAGATTTGATTTAGTTCCCATATAAAAATATCCTAGGTTAACCATGTTTGGTTTAAATACTAAATATTGAAATGTGGTCATAGATACCCTAATATTTCCATCCTATGCAAAAATGAACTGTTAACACGAAGTTTTGTAAACTTTGCCTACATTCTACAATACAAAATACAGGTGGGAGGGGAATAAAATATTACTTTACAAGATTTTCATTTTAATAGGCTTCATGGAAGGTGGAGAAAATGTATAGAAGCTCAAAGAAAACTCAATAGGAAAAAAATGATAAATATGACCAACTTCTCAAATGTGTCACATATTACTGAGTTATTAGTCCAGTACACTGCTAAGGATATATTTCCACTTGTGTTAGTTAATAGCGAAAATCCTCAGAGATCAAAATCAATTCCTGACCAAACATCTGTGAGATTTTGCAACAAGTGATATTTCTAATAGAGAACACCTTGTCACTCTATTTTTTTTTAAATCAAAACCAGTTCTTATCATGTAGTGGCAGTGAATTAAAATATTCAAAAGTAGTGAGAAGGAAAAACAAAACAGAATACCACATCAAATGAAGTTAGACCAAAGATAACATAACAGGAGAAAAGTGATTTTCTTGTAGTGTATTGATTGGGGGAAGGAAGTACGTTTCTGTAGGGAAGTCTGAAGTTGAGCTGAAGGGGAAAACGTTTGAGAGGCTGGAATTCCAGCCTGACCACAATGAGAGCACTGAGAGCTGGCCCCAGAAGGCTTAAAAGAGAATTCTGGACAGGGTTAAGAGACTGGAGTGCAGGCCTTTTCCTTATTGTTGGAAAGATAGAAAGACAGCATCTGAACCTTCGCTGCTGTTGACCTTGAAGGCTAGGTAAGGTGAACTCCATGTCTGGATTTCTCTGGGAGCCAGTCTTCTGTCTCAGGAGAATAAGGAAACATGCATCCCTCACAAACTGTTGTGGCTCTGATTGTAATATTAATATAGATATTTCAATTTTGCATGTTATCAATGGTAATCTTCCCTGTGTGCACTCAAGGAGCTATGCTTGCTTCCTGGCACCCAGGAACCAAGTGCCAGAGAGCCTTTGGATCCCTGGTTTTCCCTAAGTCTATCTGTTTATATTTTTGTGTTTCTCTAATTTTCTTTGTTTCTGGAATCCTGTAGAACTCTCTAGGCAACAATTTTCCTATACAATGGGTAGGAAAAATTTCAATCCTAAGAGCCATGTCAGCAAAGTAAAACTGATCACTAAGAAAAAGTGGTTCCCAGATAGATCATTTGAAGAAAAGAAACTACTGAGACACATATGGAGGAAAGAGGGAATGAGAAAAGAAAAAATGCTAGAAAGATAGGAAGAGAGAAAAATAGAAAACTAACCTACACTAGTGAGTAGAAAATCAAAAAATAGAGAGAGAAAATAGAGGAAAGAAATCTTGTGAGGATACTTTAGAAAACAAAGAGGAGGGCTGGGAAGGTGGCAAAGTGGTAGAGCTCTTGCCTTGCATGCATGAGGACCTGGGTTCAATTGCTCAGTACCACATAAGCAAAAAGAAAAAAAAAAAACCAGAAGTGGTGCTGCAGCTCAAGTGGTAGACCGCAAGCCTTGAACTGAAGATCTGAGGGACAGCGTCCAGGCCCAGAGTTCAGGCCTCATGACTGGACCAAAAAAAGAAAAGAAAACAAAACAAAACGAACAGGAATTTGTAGAAAGACCATAAAGTTTAGCAACAAATATAGCCTAAGTTTCAAGTAAGACCAAGCCCATGAAGTAGTCCAAGAAGTATATTTGGAGAGTAATTTAAGTACATATAGGTTAATCATTCCTTAAGAACACATGAATGTGTGTATCCACAACACTATTTCAGCAATTCCAGGAAAATTTCATTGAGATAGTTTAATGTTACTCATGAGGATGTGATCTGGTGGCAATCTATCCTTCACCTTCCATGAGAAGTAACCTGCTCTGTGTCATTACATCATATAACAGATTTGATTACATTTTATGACAAGACAAAACCTAGACATTCTGAAGCCAATCTGCATTCAACTTAGAAAGAATATAACCATTTAATCTGGTAAACCTACAAGCAATCTATATCTGCTAATCTATAAGCCAACTTTATCTGATTTATGAATATGTTCCTGAGGCTGAATCTGTGTGGTTGGTATTGTTTGTAATTCTTGGACATTTTTAGGTTCATAAAATGGAATGGAAAACAAATGAGAAATAAAAAAACAACTCACCAGAGATCCATTCATTCTGTCTTGCTGCTGACAATGAGCAGAGGATTCTGGAAGCATGGTTGGGATATAAGGGAAATGACGGATTCAGAAATGAATCTGTGAGATTTTGGGCCCGGAATTTCCTCTTGCAAACATAATACATAGGCTGGAAAACGGTAAAGCCATCTTAGAAGAATAGTTAATGTCTCAGGCAAAGCATTAAAGTCTCCAATAAACACAAATCCAGTCCATTTCCTGGTAGATAGGTATTATTAAACCAACTAATTTCTATGTTTATGTACATGTGACATTTGTAAAACTGAATGTTCCTACAAAAAATATTGAATAACTGAAAGCAAAAACATATCACATTTCCACAAAACCTAGTTATTACTGAATATACTTCATGATGTATGAACTGCTTTTTTTAATGTGAAAGTATACTAGGAATTCATTGGATTTGTGTTCTAACATCATTTACATATTTAAACACCATGGAAATCATGTATGATGTAACTCAGTAGTTTTCACCCAACGGTATAGAGGAAAATATATACAGAATATATTTCTTGTGTTATAATATTAAAATAATGGTGTCAAATGGCACATTTCATTGTACCCATTGCACACCTGTGCAATGACTTGCAATTTGCCATTTAACATGCTTTGGCCAAAGGGACATGAGTAAAGATGAGGTAAACCCAGATTTGAGAAGTCCCGAATGTTCATTTCCCTTAACAGTCAAGGGAAGATCTTTGGCCATCCTAAAGATACAACATAAAATACTCCATATAGGAGTGACACACCTGAAGATAAGCAACACCTACAAATCATACAACCTTGAGTAAGACATATTACCTCAACTTTTCTTCTGTGATATTTCTTTGAAGGCCATATGTCCCCGAACAACACTTTCTGCACTACCAGGCACAACCAATCGAGTAGAGCTAGCATTAGCAAATCCATAGATGGCACATTTAAGGTAAGTTTCACTGATTTCATACTAAAATTCCTAGTGGTAATCCAGGCTGAATAAATTAGCAGGAAGAGCATTAGGGATTAGTACATGAATAGATACTTTCAGTCATAACAATTACCCCACCATCCCAAACCACAGCCTCAGGTACCCTCTGATAACTATGCTCTGGCTTATTCCTCAAGCCAGCTCACCAAGACTCCTATAAGTTAGTTTAAATCTTGCAACAACAAAAAATGATTGAGAGTGGTGTAGGAAAGAGTACCACGTGAATCTGGTGCTCAGGGAAGTAGCAATTTTTGCATAAGGCAAGGAAAGCTAGCAACATCTTCTCCTTCCTGTGCTTTTCTGCTTCTTTCCTTTAGGGCTTCTCAGAATTGACAAGGTCTGTCCATTTAGGATGGAGATTCCTATTCATAGCGTGCTCTGCTTCAAACATTGCTAGACTTCATTCCTAAAAATACAGGACTAGAACTCACTACTCCAATATCCCGTGTACAACTGTCTCTAGAAACAGGGTCGTGAAGAAACATCTGTGAACTCAAGACAGGAGGTTAAAACCTCAAGCCAAAAAGATTAAAATATCTCTAGAAGAAACAACACAGAAGCCCCAAATACAACTTCAATGTAAGAGGACTCAAGGCAGGCACACACCTCACAATTTCACTAGAAGTCTTCCTGTACTCCTCTTATACCTGGGCAAAGCAAATAAAGTCACATATGTTAATAGAAGAATCCTTTGGTCTTGGAGTACAAATGCACAGCTCTTGGGCTCTCCTTGTCTGCAGAATCACCAAGCTTGCTCTCAGACATTTGGGAACCAGGTTCTTGCAGCTCAGGGCCCAGAAGCTAATGGCAGCACAAACTCCTGAGCCTCAAGCAAATTATCAACCCCAGACTGGAGAAAAGCGTGGAGGGGAAAGCGGGTGCTTTGGCTCAAGTGTAAAGCTCTCCTTATGAGCTGACGAGCCCAGGAACCGTGCTTGCAGACCCAGAGTTCAAGCCCCACCAACGACCAAAAAAACAGAACCAGAAAAAGAAACCCGCGGAGGATAGACTCCAGCAGCAATCCCACAGTTCCTACCTGACATCAGTTCCAAAGCCTGAGATTCCTTCAAGTTACAGCTCCCAAGGTCCACTGCACAGAGCTGCGCGCCTGCCTCCTGGCTCCAACCTAAGGATGGCGAAACTGTACTTCAGGGCACTTCCAGCAGCAAGGCAAAGGGAAAGAATCTAGTAGGGGCCGACTTAAAACGCCCGTGGTGGGCGGGGAGACGCATGCGCAAAAGGATCTCTGCTGCACTTCCGCCCTCCAAAAAACAAAAACAACTCAGGATTTTCAAAGCAAAAGCCCTCCAAGGAGACTACAATTCCCACAATGCTTGGCGCCACCTTGCTTCACCTCTGGTCACAAGAGTGCTTGGATGCATTGGGACTTTTCTCTCTCTGTTGTGGGAGCTAAGCTGAGTTTCTTCTTCAAAACCACTGTTTCCTTCGTGAAATATTGTAAGATCATCCAGAAAATGGATATATATGAAGAGAATTGGATGCATTGACTTTTTGGTACTTAGTTCTAATAATGAAATTGAGGTTATGAGACTGTGTTTCTCATACCTTTATTTTTGTTCTATGCCTGTGCTCTGCTGAGTGTAAATTACATCTCTGTTTTGCTTTACATTGTTTAATACCTCCCCTCTCATCTTACAAACGTACTCATAGACAGTGAACTTATACCAGGTCATTTTCCATTAGTGTAATGTACACACTGGCATAGAATAAGAAGATGGCTATGTGGATATGCACCATAATCCTTGTGTTGATTTGGATTTCGCAAAATCAAACAATTAGTTTTCCAGGAAATCCCCAATTCTATCTATTAAATGAAAATGAGTTTTTGTCTGTTTCTGAAGTTTGCTTTTCATTTAAGGGTTTTATGTTTTTTTGTCTTTTTGCTGTTGGTCCTGAGGCTTCAACTCAGAGCTTGGGCACTGTCTGTGAGCATTTGTTGTGCTCTACTTGGATTTCCTTTAATAATCTCTTCAGGTAACTAGTGAAAAGTTTCCTCACAGGGATTCTTAAGAGCATGGCACATTACCCTGATTTTCCTACAAAGAGAGTGGTTTGGGGGTCAGAATGAATGCAGGTGAGCAGAAGAGTGAAGTTTAGTGAAGGTCTATATTGATGTGAATCTTAATCATTTACAAACCAGTCTGCTTTTGTCTTTTCATTTTGCATGTGAAAATCTCTTTAGAATTCTTACCTCTTCTCTGATCCTAACAGTTCCTCTCAGTAGCTTTAGGCTACATATCTAGAGGGCCTCAGGCTTGTCGTCTCAGACCTTACCCATTAAGCTGTGGAATAAATCTTTGTCTTCTGCCACAATCCCATCAGAGCACAAGCAAGATTTCTGTGGGACACCGGGATAATAATTAAGGAGACAGAGAGATGGCTGATGGCACAATTCTGCTATATTGCTCAAATGCTTGTGTAATATTGGTCTAGGCACACTCTGCCAAAAAGTGCAAACAGCACACATCTTTCTTCATTCTATTTCAATCTATCTTTTCCACCAAAGCCTCCCTTCACTTAAAGCCCCAGGCCAATCAGCTAGAACACACATTTCCTCAAACGGTAAACGGCAAGAACTTGTAGTCCTGAGGGTGGGAGTTAATGGCCTTGAAGCCTTTGTTCACAGTTTGCCTGCTTCTGGCAGGCACCCCAGGGTCTGCAACAGTCTCCCTCTCTCATAATCAGAGATCGTATAATTGTCTCTTAAATGTTTCTTGTAATGTTTGGTGATCCTTTACATGCACTTAATTGGGATAGTTTAGACTGGAAACTTTCCCGCCTGATTTTAGTGCTCCAGTGTATGGATTTTCATGACTCTTTTGTGGACCTGAACTATTCCTCATGAAAATGGGAATCAAAGGGCATATTTGAATGTGTAGACTTCAACTTAAAAGCACCTCTAATAATATAAAGAAAAAGTAATTTCATCCTGTAAAAGTCAATTCCTGAGAAGCAAGGAGAAAAGGATCAGAAAGAACTGGAGTACTTCCAAGACTACATGTGAAGTGTAGTTTTCATTGTTCAAGCCTGTATTTCTGATGCATTTATTAATTATTTATCCTTTTCTTTCTCTTTTTCTTTTTTTTTTGATTGATCATGGCAAATTGTACTCTGAGCCTGGGAACCAACTCTGAGCTCAAGGGCTCTCCCATGTGAGCCACAACACACTTCTGGATTTCTAGGGGTCACTGGAGATAATGTCTCACAAGTTGTTGACCAGGCTGACTTTGAACTGGGATCCTCAGGTTTCAGCCTATTGAACAGCAAGGATTACAGACATGAGGAACCAGCACCCAGCTTGCATTTATTGTGTTTTATGTCCCAATGCTGGGGCTTGAACTCAGTGCACGGACACTGTCACTGAACTTCTTTTGCTCAAGACTAGCACCCTACTACTTGAGCGACATTTCCACATTTTGCTTTCTTGGGTATGTGGTACTGAGGACTTGAACCCAGGGCTTCATGCATGCTAGGTAAGCATACTACCACTGCTAGGGCCAGCCACAACACCAGCAGTGCTCCAGAAGAACAAGGGGATGATAATGGAAGAGACAGAGACAAGGCCAATGATAAATCTCTCTTTAATTCAGCAATAACCTTAGCTATAGACACTTTCTGTAACTGTCCAATGCTTGCATCACTTTGTTCTAGGACTCAATGTGGCAACAATGGCAGATCATATGCATCCTTCCTCATTCTAGTTCAATGTTTGTTCACCAAACTCCTACAGGTAAGGCCCCAGACCCAGAAGCTAAAAGGAACACTCCCTCCTATGAAAAGGGCAAGTACTCATAGCCCTGAAGGTTGCAGTCTGTGGTTGTGGAACTTTTGCTCACACCTTGCCAGCTCTTGGCACCTCTGAGTCTGCAACATGTCCTCCTTTTTATTTTGTAAATTGAGCAAGTGTCTATCAGCCTGAATCTGGAAAAAGCAGCACATCTTATATCTCAGGAAAAATGGAAGAAAAGGAATAACAAAACAAGAAACAGGAAAATGCTTAGAAATGGTAAAAGGATTGCTATTTCCCAGGTTGAATCCCTGCAGGTAGTGCAGAACTGATGCAGCTAAGTCTGCAGGGTGTGCTACCTGTAGGGTGGAGTGACCAATATCAGATTTCTGACCCTGAAGCTGCATAATGTCTAAGCTTAATTTATGAAAGGAGGAGTGGAAAGGCGGCTCAGTGGTAGAGCGCTTGCCTTGCATGCATGAGGTCCTGAATTTGATTCCTCAGCACCACATAAGCAAAAAAAAAAAAAAATGGAAGTGGCACTGTGGCTGAAGTGGTAGCCTGCTAGCCTTGAGGTGAAGAGCTGAAGGACTGCACCCAGGCCCAGAGTTCAGGCCTCATTACCAGACTCCCCCCAAAAAAATTATCAAAGGACTAGATTGCTCAAATATGTCACTGGATATTGGCCCAAATCATATTTCCATCATATTTAAGAGGGATAACACAGATGTACTAACCATTAGCATGGCACATCATTTTTAACCGGGTCTTTAGCATGTCAACCTGATTATCAACATACATCATTGCTGTTTCCAAATTATAAAACATATCACAATCTTTTTATCTAAGCCCACCTGCATGCCAGGGCACCAGAAACATATCAAGCCAAAGTTTTAACATGTTGTGTTGTATATATGGTGTGGATAAGTTTCACAGCAGAAGCAGTAGCACTAGCAAGAACATTTAGGGTAGCAAAAATGCTGGCAACCAATATTCCCAAAAATCTGCAGCAATGGCTAAGAGCCCTCTAAACCTCAATAGCAAACAGACCCAAACTTATTATACCATAATGGTTCTATCAACTGAACATGCAATGTAAGTTATGAGGATTGCATAGTAAGCTAGGATTACTCATGCAGTTAGTGAGAACACAATTGTTCCTGCTAGAGGCATCAAAAACCACCCCACCCTTGAAAACCATACGTAGCTCAACTACCAGCATGTATGGATTCATAACACAAACTTGCACAGTAAATGATACAAAACCATGAAATAGGACATGTCTCTGATACAGAGGTATGGGACGAAGAGAGGCATTATTCCAAAAGGCCTCAGCAACAGCCAGTTACAGATATCAGGGTGAGCTTGTCCCAACAGGCTGACAAACATGGGGGCCAGCAAGGTACCACTGATCACGTCACTCCTCTGAGCCCAGTCGTGCAGTGCATATTGGCAGACTTCCACCAGCACAACAGTAGACAAGATGTGAAATCCACAAGCCCTCCATAATCCACATGCCCTCCATGGTGGTGGATCATCGCAACTACAGGATTCTCCGGGCATAGTGGAACCCAAGAGGGGTGCACCACATCTCTTGCCAAAGGAATTCTAGAAGTGTTATGCATAAGCTCCATGTTTTCCATTCATTCATCTTTTCCTCCAGAGGAAGTCAGAGCCATATTCTATCCCTGAATACCTGAACATACCATACTTGTACCTGCTACCTCAGGATCTACAATAGTCAATCATTGAGATGAATGAAGGAAGAGGATATAATATTTGTATAACAAATAATGAGACTTATTCTGTGAGCAACGAATAATTCAAAAACAATCTAGGAAGTAAATTCTATTTATACTACTACAATGAACATAATACTTAGAAAGTAATGTTTGAAAAATGTACCCTTGAACAATAAAAACTATATAACACAGTAGTCTAGGAAGCACCCATTTATACCTGATCCTTATCTCCTTGCTTCTCAGAAACTTATTTTACTTTTACAGAAAGAAAGTATTTTTGCATCATATTTTATAGGTGCTCCAAAGTTGACATCTATATAGCCAAATGTGCCTCATGACCTCCATTTTCATGAGGAATAGCTGAGGTCCACTAAAAGAGGCATGGAGAACCCATGCACGGGAGGACTGAATACCAGGCATGAATGTTTCCAACACAGTCCTTCCCAATCATGATGTGGGGAAAGGATCATCAACAATCTCAACAAATCCTTAAGAGACAAGCTTAGGATGTCTGATATGAGCGAGGGAGGCAAAAGGTTCATTCCACAGTGTAATGGATACAGTTGGGAAGACAAGTCTGAGGACCACTAGCTTGCAGAAACTTCTAGGATCAGAGAACAAGTAGAAAATAAAAAC